ATTTTGAGTACCTATTTTAAGGTATGAGTTGGGATTTTTTAGAAGTTTCTTTAACAGTCCTTAAACTGTTAACTTAATGGTGTATTTTCATACCAAGCAGACAACAACTCTTACGTATACTCATTAAAGTAAAAGTGTTGGTAAGATTTCATCCGTTGAGCAACTATGGTATGTAACGTATCTGTAGTACACAGTTATTCAAGGTTTTTAAGGTAATTTTATTTCTGAGCTGCGCGTGGAGAGCCATACTGTATCCCCTAAGTGTTTATAAAAAATTATTTTTTAAGAGGCTATAAACTCAATGTGTTATTGATCAGTATACCTACAGTGTGAACATTTGTTGAGACACTTCAGACACAATAACCAATTAAGAAAGGCAGTCACCTCAATAATGTGAGAAAAACATTCATTTCTTGTTATTAATGTATGTCAGCTATATGGAGGTTTTAAAGGCAAATGTAAACTATCCTTTTTACTGTTAAATTGAATATCAATTGACTGGGAAATCCTTGTAATCTAGTTGGGAAATTTGAGATATAGTTGGGTAATCCTTATAATATAAAATTGGGAAATCCGCGTAAACTATTTGGGATATTTAAAGTGTACCGCCACCCCTAATATTTTTTTTCGTGTGACGCCCCTGAATATGACTGTTCAAATACGAAGAGTAGATTAATACTGAACTGGAATCTTGAGGAAAACCATGGACGCAATCCCAGTGAGTTACGCATCGCAACAACATTTATTTGTCAAATAGCATGCGTTTGTTGTTGAGGTTATTGTAAAAATGTTCTATGCTGATTTATTGTCCGTACGAAAATCTATATCTATATATCTATTACATATCTTATTTAATTCTGTAATCTAATTGGTTCCCAAAAAAATATCTTGAGCTAGGAAAGTTGTAGCATGACTGTTGAGGATTTATTTTACAGTTTAAGGTCTAAGGACGGTGGGAAAAAAATATCAGAGGTGTCAAAAATTACCCCTGCTCTGCCCAAAGGCCGTCAAATATCCAGTCATTTTCAAATGGGAGTACTGCTACAGTGTTTCTATAAGCTGTATCAAATATACCAGCTGATGTAAACATTGTGTATTTGTTTGTTTGTTTATTGATTTAAGTGGTCTATCTTAGATTATTAATACAACGTCATCATCCAATAGTCAATGGTTCTATTACAGGTTTACAATGGTAATGCACTGTTGAAATTTATAGTGTTAGGGGAACACCGCAACTACAAAGGAAATTATTTAGGATTGGTGCACAACGTATGGAATTGAACAGGGAGGGAAATTAAATTGTTCGAGGGAGGTTTAAACCAGATACAGCCTGTTGTTAGAAGAAAAAAAGGTTCAAATAATAATCCGGAGTTAGTTAACGTTTCTTTACGTTTAAACTAACTAAAATATACCAATACCGACGAAAAGGAATTTGGAGATTCGTTTTGTCAACTGAGAAACGGAACCCTAACCAATGTTTGAGAAGTCAATCGACGATTTTTTTATCAGTATGTAACAGCATTTTAACAGTAACCAGTATTTACTCATACAAAGTAAATTACATATTTGTTGTCTTTATCAAATTTAAAACTCTGGAAGGGATTGAATTGTTTATTGGAAATTAATAACAAAAACCATATATGAATTTGAACGGATGGTGTTTTTGGCCTCTACAGACCTCAAAACGAAAAAGTAAATCCCGGGTCCATGTCTTACCATGAGTACTACGGTGATAGCTTATTCCTTATATGGAAATTCACTAAAACTATAACAAAAATATAACTATGAATTGTACATAAAAATTCTTAATACTCTAATATTTGGTTTAAGCTGGATAATATGGTCTCAAATATAAAATGTAAAAGCTTGCAAGATGATAATTTCATGTAGATAAATATTGATTTGACTATATGGTAATTGGGTAAGTATTGGTTAATCTTAATTATTATGCTAAAAGGTTTAATATTATGTCTCATACTAATGATTAAGTGTTATTATTGATTGTCAAGAGATAAGTTTTATTTTAAATAAACTAGATTTAGAATAGGTCTACCTATATAAAAGAAATAAGTTAAAACAAAAATTACCAATCTTGACCTCTGGTAAGCTTCTACTGTGATAATTTATATTCTTTTGTTTTACCTGTAAATAGCCTTAATTTTCAGTTTTGTTTGCTTAATGACATTATAAAACTGAAGTTTCTCGAAGAACGATTACTCCTTATTCAAATATGGTATGAAATTAGTTATTATAATATTTAATGATGTATCATAGCCAAGCTAAAAAAATATTGTTTAGTTTGTTTAAGAAATTAAAAAGTTATAGTACTCTCTTTTTTTAGTATGTCTCTTTAACAAATCTCTCGATGCAATTGGAAAAAATAGCAAAAGCAGATTTTTTGTTGTAAACCATGTGTAGGCCATGGTGGAAGTAAATAGTGTAGGCTAACATGAGAAAATGCTTTTCATGTGTTTGTGTATGCTGAAAATGGTTTAAAAGTGAATTATATTATCTCAATTATATTAGAACACCTCCAAGAGTCATTCAAAGAGTTTTGCCAAAATATTATAGTTTAGAATAGATTTTACCTGAAAAACATATTTTAAATATCTTGTATAATTAATTCCAATAACTAAATGTCTAATACAACTCTCGAATTATCACTGCATACACCTAAATGGCTGAATTATTATTTTTGCCGCAAGTTTTAACTTTCAATCGCTTTTAGTTGCTTTTAAATGTCACTTACACAGAATATGTCTTCATTTTGATACTGAGTAGTCGTCTTTGGGACAAACTCAATATTGAAATTAGATTTGGAAAACTCTTATTTTTCTTTCGCTTGTTCCATTTATTTGTTTCATTTAATTTGAAAAATCTTAATTTTTACCTCATTTTATTTTGAGATATTGAGAAGATTGCTTTATACATTTCAATGTAGCTTATAACTAATCTTATGGAAAAAGAGTACAAATGAATATACATGTATGACCAAGTACAGAAAAATATTTATGTCAAATAATATATAAAATCAGCAGTATTTTGTTATATTATTGAGCGTATAGAAGACAAAAGTCTTTTGGGAATCATAAATATTTGTGTTTTACCAAGTGAATTATCAAAAAATTCGATGAATAAAATGGTTTAATTTAATTTATAGATGAAGTTTGAATTTCTTACATCATAAAAATCTACATCAATAGTCTTACTTTCTGTACGAAGCTGTAATTAAAAGAAAGATTGACATTACCAACAGTGGTGATTAATAATATGTCCATGGACATTAATAATGTGATTAATAATACAGTAGTAAATGATTAGTAATATAAATTATTAGTAATACTGCCGAAATGATTGAATCGCTTGCTCATTTACATCAGCAGAATTGAAAACAAGCTGGAGTCATTTTGAGAGGTTATCTTTACATGAAAAGTAATTTTGTTTTCTAGCTTAGTTTTTTTTTATGATGAAATATGACAAAACATATGTTTGATCACTCGGGCAAAAAGTGTATTTTCAACCCTTGCTCAAATTCCGTTGAGCAAACTTTACAATTGAGATGATCCTAAAAAATCAAATGCAAGTATATAAAATTGGTATGACAAGACATATTTCAAATTATTTATGTTGGTTTAAGATCAAAAACAGATTAAATAGAATTAATTTGAAAATGTAAATTTATAAAAATACATAATACAGTTTAAGTTGATTTATTGTTTTTTTTTATTTAAAGGTGCATAATTAAAATTAATTGACACTTAAATTTTAGTTAATTAATACAATTGTCATCGGCTTAATGAGCATTTGTGTTTGCCAATACAGTATAAGAAACAGTAACATCTTTATATTCTTGAATTTTAAAAACCTACTTTTCAATAAAGATATTTGATATATTTTATTAAAACTAATCCATAAACATGCAATATATTTAAAAATCACGAAAAAATGGCATATTAAGTACTAAATGTAGCATTTTGGTACCCGACAGCAAATAATATAGTGGTATAACAAGTCGTCAGTCTCTTCAAACTGTTATAAATAGTGAACATTATTTATAACTGATATTAGCTTTTTTTGTAAAAAAAGTTGTAATTTTTAATAAGTTTTTAACATGCTGCCCCCTCCCCAAAGAAGTATATATTGTCCTAAAGTTGAACTTAAATACCCAATATTAGTTAATGATGCGGCACAAACGAATTCCCTTGGAATTATATGGCAACATTACAAACTGACTTTTAAATCTTGATTAGCTTCAAATTAAAATATATATATATTATATTTCCAAACAAGGATTTAATCGAAATAAGCTTATAATATAATCAAACAAAATATTTTTCTTATATAATTGCAGCTACAACCTTACACTATAAAACGTTCTCCTTGTTTGATATTTCACTTCAAACTCCTGATATCCCCAAGTTAGTTTTATTTTTGTTATCAGAAATAAGAATGTAAACCATTATGAGTAGGGCCTGGTAAATAACCTCTCCCACGGGGTTTTATCTGTTTTAGTTAAATATTACTAGTTTTATTTTCAACTAAAATAAATCCTCTCATCTCTTTCCAGGTAGAGTATTTTGTAGGGTTTACTAAATAACCTTAATCATTAGGTTCGAAAGAAACTTGGTTAATGCTATCCAATAATTATTGTGTATTGAATTTGTCAGATTTGCAAGTGTGTTATTCTAGTTGTCACATGTGAATTTAGAGCATGCACTCATTGTAAACAAAGTTACAGTATATGCCAGGAAATTAAAATAATCAACATTGCTTTTCCCAATTATGCGGTAATGAACATCGTATCATGGATGAAGACTTCGTCTATGATTGTGTCTTCCGATTTACAGCTTAATCCATGGCTCGAGCACCCCCCGGTGACCTAACCTAGTCACTCAATGTTGCAGTTTAATTGCAGTTTCCCACGGGACTGCAGATCGCCTTGTGTGGCGAGGCAGGAGAACTTACAGCTACGTTTCCGAGAAAACGAAACCGCTACTTACGTGAGACATTGGAGCGTTGTGCGAAAGCGATCACCTTCTCGGTCCTGGCGTGGTAGTCGTCCTCCTCGTCCTCCAGAGGCGGTTCGTCACCCATCATGCCGGGCACCGGGAGTCCACCCTTGTGATACTTTTCTAGGAGAACTGAAGGTACTTGTGGGAGCGCCACCCCAGTAGTGTTAGGAGGCTGGTCTATCCCCAACTTGCTGAGGATCTGCTCCTTGATCGCCTCTAGACTGAAATTCTTCATCTCCTCCCTGAGCCGACACGCCGAGCAGCCCACAGCTGCGGGGGTGGTGCCCTCGTCCTCGGCGTACTCCTCGCCGGCGACCGCGTCCGCCAAGGCGAGCTCCTCCTGTGTCCAAGGGCGAGACTTCCGCCGCCGGCCGCGCGTCGAGGTGCTGTTGGGACTGCCGTCCGAGTGTACTGTGAGCAGGGAGAAGACGACCAGCAGTAGCAGGGTGGTGGCGGGGGCCCACTGCATCCTGTCACTTCATCCTCGGGCCTGTACAGAGGACAGAGGACAGAGGAGGTGAGAGAAGGTGTGACGGCGGCGGTGATCGCGGCAGTACTGACTACCACTACCACTACACTACACACTACGACCCGCGCCAGTCCCCCACCACACCTCTCACACACTCACACACACCACCTACCCTTACCATCTGTAAATAGCCACTTCTACAAATAAATACAGAAAATTGCACCCGCTAATTCTGTACATTGTGAAAAATAAATTGTAAATTATATAATTGCAATTTGAAAATGGATTGGAGGGTGATTTGTTGATACATCATTGAATTATATGTTTTTAATATGTTTCAAAATTGCATGGCTTAAACACAGAATTCATGGCATAAAAACAGGATTATTTAGAGAGAGCAAATCAGGCCCCTGGTATCAAAGTTCTTTGTTAACAACCAGCCCAAAATATACTTCTACACAGGATTAATTATGTACACTTTCATCTAGAGACTTTCGTGAATGAACTTCATATAGCCTTGTTTAGCCAATTCTTAATATATTGACCCTTGATGGACTTTAGTGATAAGTTATTTCTTTAAATGTTGGTTTCAAAATAAACTGAACTAACAAGCCATTAAATATTTACAATTTCAAATACGAGTAGCATGTGTGTAGTGTACTGCTAACAGTGAACATAGATATTTTTAATGGTTCCAAAGTTTAATAAATATAACTAGAGGCCCATAGCAGCAATAAGTGTCCTTCACCTCCGTTTTTATCTGGCCTTAACCATTCCCTTGTGCACCATTCCTAAATACTCCCCTTCGTAGTTGAGGTCTTCCCCTAACAAAATACATTTCAACACTGTATTACCATTCTAACCTAAAAACCGAACACTTAAATCAATAAACAAAATACGCAATGTTTACATTAGCTGGTGTATTTAAAACAGCTCATAGGAACCCTGTAGCAGTACTTCCTTTAGAAAATGACTGGATCTTTGACGACCTGTGGGACAGAGCAGAGGTAATTTTTGAAACTTATTATGTTTTGGACATTAAGCTTTTAAATTAAGCCCCAACAGCCATCACAGGGACTACCTTTTTCCCAGCTCGAAATATATCGTGGGTACTTAGTTATTTATGTATTAGATAATTATTATATATGTATATATTTATGTACCCGGTCTACGTAAATAAATAATCGATATCCAATACTTTCATACCTCGTGTTCCCAATGCCTTTCTTTGTCGCCATTAGCATTAAGTGAAATGTTGTCTTTGAGTAATTTTAATACTTTTACACATTGTTCTGACGAATGTTGCTAATTTTGAAACAAATTTAATGTTTATCATTGATACAAAATATGATCAGACAACATTTTTAAAGTGTTATTGTACACATGTAACGAAACCATACAACACTTTAAACTACAACATTCTATCACTTATACTTAAAGTAATAATGTATTTAAAGTATTTGTCGTAGTATTGATTTAGTACTAATAGCATTTGTTAAGAGAAAAGTACTTCAGTTTACTTTCTCAGCATTGGGCCAGCTGAAACTCCGAGCCAGTGTTTGAAGAATCTGTTCCATCATCTGGATTGCGGAACTTTAGGATAGGCGGGGTGAGAGGGGCAGCAGGTAGTCACTTCCTGAATATAAAGGGTAAGAGCACCTGGCCGCTACGCTAGCTGATACCCTAGTGCCGATCAGCGCAAAAAAACGGTTTAAATTGGTTAGCTCATTAATCGTTCGTGCGTGCGAGAAAAGGAGGCAGTAGGCTAGCAGTGTTCACACACTGCTGACTTTAGCCATGACAGGTGTAACTCGCAAACTTCCAACGTAGTTAAAAAAGTTGAGCGTAGCGTATTTAGCTGTAGGTGGAGTTCACATTACATATCTAACACCATGTGAAATGCATACACTAGTGGCATATATCTAACAATAGGTAATGTTAATTACTGACGCATAAGGTAACAATAGGTTAAGTGTACACTTTTACGGGGGGTGATGTTCATACATTGCTCATTGAATTTTTCTTATTATTAATTTACTAAAATTTACTAAAAGCAGTAATTTTAATTACATCATTGCTTTGAGCTTCCAAAATTATAGTACAGAAAATTGTCCCTTATTTTCGTTTAGGCAAAGGATGGCCAAAACTATTTATACATTTATTTGGGGGTTAATACCTCAGGTCCCAGGAAAATATAAATCGTAGTTTTGTCCAAGTGGCCATAAAATTTTCTTTGTCTGGTCCCCGAAAAGATAAAAAAATTATCCTCCAACTCTTGTGATTTACTAAACATGTCTTGTTCAATCTAATCACTGTTACCCGGTCAACTAATTTTTACTCAAGTATATTCTGTTTCCGTATGGAGCACAAAAGAAGTTCATAAAAGTTTCCAAACGTATAAACCACTCGTGCAATACTGTTTTAACGTCTAGACTGCGTCTAGACTGTTGAGCGACGCCTACACAGCTTTTAATGGCCCAAGCTCCACTGATTACATTTGGGCTATTGAACTCTTATTTTTGCTCCTGGACCACATCATCGACAAATGGTTTCTTCTACGTGTCTTATAGAAGTTGAAAGCACGTAAGACAAATAGTTCTAAAATAAGAACTCTCGGTAAAATAAAATGGACGTTGAAGAGTTTATTACACAAAGGCAAGTGTTCCCTAAAACAAAAATATAGATTCCCAAAAGTATTTCTCAAATGTAAAATTCCATAATTGGTGTATTCATTATTTATTAGTTTTTATTATCCTCCCGATTTCACTTACATTATTTAAAAATATTAATTACAACTTTTTCTAAGTAACCAATAGATCAATCATTACTAAAATAACTCTGCAAATAATGTATCTTTCCAGTCATAAAACAATAGCATGTTTCCCATTTCAATCGTATTATATCTATTTTCCAACTGTGTGGTGCGACCTGGTCTAGTGGCTAGAGCGCAAGACTTCGGTCCAAGAGCTCCCGGGTTCAAATTCCGCCAAATCACCAATGGATTTATCTAAGTGATGATGCCGCAACCCCTAGGTCTAGTCTGAAGTAAAGTGAAAAACAATCTCAGGCTCGTGCCTAGCGTCCAAGGACAAAAATATTCCCACTGTAGTGTGTGATTTGTTATGGACATACCGGTTATACTTTAATACTTAATAACTTTGTTCATTCTAGTTTTACTAATTTTACTGATCATTTCATTGTCTTAATCTTTTTCACCAACTAATACATAGAAGTGAGCTCGATTTGCAAAATTCCAGCTTGAAAACAACAGAGACACTATTGAACACTATTGAATTAATAACTAATCTTTAAGTCAATACAACTTTATAGTAATATTTTTGAATGATATTATTTTTAAAATTTCTCTTGTATAAACATCAATAAAAAAATTTAAGAATAGTTTTTACAGTTCAAGTTATCAACTCAATCACGTCATTGATTTTAAAAGACAGCTATGGGGTGAAAACCAGTTTCATAAGAGGTATGTGCAAATGTGCAGTACTTGAAAGTAAACACGTAAATTTGTTGTATCGAAGCTGTATATTATAAGGGTAAATATAGAGGTTAAGCTTTCGAGTTCGATGTAGTTTAAGAAACTATAAAGGCTTCATCAAAGTACCATTATAGCAAGGATTCCTAAGTAATTCTTTTTATTGTATATAATAAATTTAAGGTTAGAAAAAACTATGTTAAATAGTAAATAAACAGTAATCAGCAGTCTGACACGTACTTTCTCCCTTTGGCTTATCAACAACCCTCATCATGAGTAAGCGGTTGCAATAGCTTTTGAAGTTATTGGGGTTGTACCATTTTGTTAGGAGTTAAAAGGACTATAATTAATTTTAATCAAAACTGTTCGAGTTATTTTTGAGAAAAAATTAGACTTCTCCGTAATTTCGTAGGTTTTTATTGGTAAACTAAAATTTAAAAATCTTAATATTAGGATATACCTTGGACCCACGTCCCAAATTTGATAAAAAACGGACAACCTGTGTAGTCTGTAGCTACACATCCACGCACACACACACACACACACGGACACGGACACACAAACACGCGAACACACATATACACAGAGACATCACATCGAAAACTACATTTTTGGGTTGGAGGAGGTAAACTGCTCCCCCTTGGCTGGAGGCCCAGTGAGGCCATGGGTTTATGTGGGCCTAAAACGGATATATAAATTCAAAACTTAAAATCGAAATTTTTGATGAAAACAATGGTTTATCCATAATATACTACTATATAAAATAAGGAGGAGATAGTAAAAAATACAATACGTAAATCTAGTTCATCTAATCTTCTTGGCACAAAAAGAATTTATACATGTTTTAGATGACAATTACTAGTTATTGCATACTATTCGCACATTTATTTTCATCCTTTTGCAGTTTAAAGCCCAAGAGGTTACCTATCACAGCGTAGGAACAATGTGAAATTAACAAATGTCTTTGAGGAAAGCCTCAATACGTCGATTCCTTATCCCCTTGACCTCTTCCTCACCACAGTTATAGCATTGACTATGAATCCTTAAGGATTCATAGTCAATGGTTATAGCTAAAGTAAAATTACTGCAGTATACAAATAAAGTTTGCGATAGTAGCCTAATCCGTGTGATGCTCTTTTAGTTTATCTATCTTTACAATGTATCACACAAACGGCAAAAGGTTCGATAACATACGATGCAATGACGCTGTCTTATCAATAAACCCAACAGCCAGTGAACTTGTTATCAACATCATTGAACTCTGGTCGTTGATAGTTAGTAATCAGCAATTGATGCGAATTTGTTGCAATTTTAAACTACTTTTTAAAGTTGGAGTGAGTCTGCTATGATTTAGTTACACACATTTATTTTTTCTCGGTCTATCAACTTCTTAACCCCTAAATATCGCAATGAATAAATTCCATGTTATCGTAAACAATTAGCGCTTGGAAAATTAATAGGACGAGTTTTATTTAAAAAAAAAATTACAGTAAGTTATTGTTAAGTTATAATTATTATCTGTATATTAATAGTCATGCATGTTACTTTAAAACCTTTTTTCTCAGGTCGTGTGCATTGCAGGGTAAATCTACGCATACTGTTAGAAAGAT